AGAAATTTTTTAAAAATATTGATTAGAATAAAAGTTATTTCATTAGTCAGAATGTCAGATCTCCGTGGGACACCATGTATATTATATAATAATATGCCGTTCACTATCTTWTTCAATATTATGATCAGTAATATATCATAAATATGATATTTGACAATATGTGATATAATATAAATAATTATTTACTTACTCATCTGGCATAGCCTCTGTGAAATTAATATTGGGGAACTAAGAATAATGTTATTTTATGTTGTTAACGTATCAATTTGTCTAGAAATTTAAGGACGATTATATTAATCAAATTATATAAACAAAATTGAAATATCTTACAAGATATTAAGTTCTGTATGTTTAAATTAAAATTTTATAAGAGAGGCTTGCAAATCAGTAATTCCCCTTTCAAGAAAAATACCTTACGATTGTAGTGTACAGTGATTCCCGACCTTTTTTCTTTGGCACGCCACTTAAGAAAAATATTGCCTTCATGCAGACCACCAATAATATAAATGTACCTTTTACCAATAAACCTTTTACACTTTAAAATGCAATATCTCATTTTTATAATAATGACAAAATCATAAGTATTTCAACATAAAAGTTTAAAAATTATATTTTTGGAAACATTTGCATTTTTAACACAATTATATGTAGGCATGGTTAGCRGGTTGAGTATTGTCTGAGTAAACTGCACATCACATTATATTAAATGAATCTAACACAACTATGTATACACAGCACTTTAATCACTTATCAGATATTACTAAATAACTAGTCATAGATGAAGCATTTTTGAAGGTTTGCACTAAAATATCCAACACTATAATTATTGTAAAATATCAGTTTTTTTTACATAATTTTTTTCAACCATATATGCAACTTTTACATATCTTGTAATAAAATAACCTAGTTTAATTTTTTTTTTTTAATTAGCACCAATTAAAAAAAATCATTCCACTATTCCATTTAAATGTGCGTACTTGCAATACGCTCATCAGTAATTATGTGATAGTATTTTTTTTGCACGAATATAAAGTGGAAATTTTACGAATCTGAAATCTTAACGTTTAATTGGGGCTTAATGTTTAGAAGAAAGAAAGAACAATTTAAACCAACATATCATAATAATGATTTAAATATATGTTTTGATTTAGAGAATAATTTTTCTTATCGCGCATTTACCAATATTGTTCTTGTTTAATTCAGGTTTTTTCTACAGTCGCCGGCTAACCCTGACTTGCAGTACATCATTTTCTTTTGCCATACTCAACTCACAGTCACAACTTTGCTAGGATTTATATTCGCTAGTAAGGTGAGTAATTTAAACTGAAATCAAAAGATACTATTAATGCATATTTTATAGATACCAATACCATGTAAAAATTTTAATGTTTGAATTTTGAAAGAAATAATAGAAAATTATTTAATTGAAATCAAATAGTGTACCTAGCAAAATATTGTCGCATATGCTTTATTATATTTCTGTACTTTAATTGGCATATTGTCATTATCAGTGTATTATTATTATTTTTATAGTTAATTATCATTTTAATCGGTGTCTCTCGCTCATACTGTTAGTCGTACGTGAACACTTTATCGAGCATATTATAATTTATAGTGTTAAAATAAAAAAAAAATATTTACAGTTCACTAAAAGAAATGCGTTAAATTTATTAAGCAAAGAAAAAAATATAATAGAAAAAAAGAAAAATAACTTTTGTAATTTTTGATTATTATAAAATAATAATATAAGAAATTATATTTGAAAAATGATTATTTGCAAAAAATATTTTATTCAATTGTATGATTAAACATTTGACCCCAGCAAACCTTGTTTCACCATATATTATTATTTCTAATGAATGTATAGATAGTCAAATAAAAAAATGTCTAAATTATTATAATTGTGTGTTGATGTGTTTTACTGGTATATGACTGAAATAGGAATGGAGAGTATTAATAAATAAATGTTTGTAATTTTAAAAACACACCTGTATCTCAAATTATGAAAATTAAAAAAACAAAAATAAACAGTATCAGTCTTTTAGTTAAATTGAGTGTACCTACGATATTTTTAGTGAGTCCATATTTAGCCAACATAAACAAAATGGATGGTTTACTCACGCGAATAATATGCCATGGGTAATATTGTCCATGTGAAAAACACGGTTTTCCTAAATATAAGCCACAAACAAACATAGTTCAACTCGTGCCTCTTGTGATTGAGATTCACGCAATTGTGCTATACTCACACGAAAATACGTATTATCGGATTGGATTTGTTCGTCTGTTCTTTGCCCTATTCTATTTCTCATGTTTGTAGATGCATTTGTTCTACGACAAAAATTGGCACTCTGTCGTCTTGCTGGAATTTTTAATGACACAAACAAATATATTATATTCAAATTAAAAAAAAAAAAAATAGTAATAAATAAATATTATTCTCAAATCTTATGATTTGATATGGCTCATATCAACCATTAATAAAAAATAATTGCTACCTAAATCTATCCGATCCCGTGCACTTTGCACTTAAAATATTTACAATCCTTTAAAAATTGTGAATGTTCAAAATGTTCAAATTCTTTTGGAGGTAACTCGCAGCAGTAAGTTCAATTCAACTACCCTGTTAGGAAATCCGTAGATTAGCGGCTATTAGTAAAACTCAGCCTACTTTAAAATACTAATTTGTACTAATTATTTCTCCTATAATCAAAAACAACCATTTTTAACCAATGGAACCAATAATTGTTATTATTATTATAGCTTTAAAACCTCTGGCAACCATTTATAAACAACAATTTCTATCGTAAATCTCAAAATTCTTGTTTGAGCACCTCCAGGAGATGATAATTTTCCTTTTGAAATTATCTTAAAACGTATTCTCAGACCTACTAAATATACACAGAAAATTCGATGAAGATCGGGAAAACCGTTTCGGAGGAGTTCAATAACTAATACTGTCACATGACGTTTTTAATATTTTGAAATATTACATTTAAATATGAATATGATAAAACGCATGGTCACAAAATTGATTAATGCCTACCTAGTTTTATATCTAACGTTATGTTACAAATATATAATTATGCCAGAAGAACATGATTGAATCATTATTGTTCTACTAGTAAATTGGATAAAGCACTGTCTAGTAAAATTTATTTGATCATAGTTTTACAATGTGACTGTATACCCTAATATTATATACATTTTAGYGAATAACTTTATAAGTTTAATAAATTTCATTATTATTATTTTGATTTAGTAAAATGATTTAAAATGATCTTATGATATAGGCATATTTAGTGATGAGAGGTGATGAAGCAAACGATGAAGACGGCCAGATAAAGAGTATTAAAGTGACCGGTGGTAGTAGAATGTTGAGTAAACAGACTAGAAATTCAAACAAAGCTAATAACTCCACATTTTGTGGTTTGGAAGAATCTAGCACTGACTTTGTGCTAACGGAAACAGACGCACAAGTGAGTTCTTTATCTATATTTATAACAAATATAAACAACAATAATCGTATTACAGTGTGAACTTTTATTGGTTAAAATATTACTTTTAAAGAAAAAAAACGGATAAGTCGTGGATTTCGCTTGCTGTACAGTAGGTTACAATGGGTTACTGAAATGGATGGAATTAAATTTCAACCCAATGATATTATATCATTGTGTTCGAAAAACGATTCTGAGCGGAAACGGTTTATCTGTATAGGATATATTATAGATTATTATAAGTTTTCAAATCTTAGATTTAATAAGTCACTCGAATGTTTTTGAAAATTTTTTTATGTCTAGGTAAGGTTAATATAAGTAAACAACCCAAATTTCAAGTTTTTACAAATGTTTTAACCGAATTACAACAAAATCTCTCAAAATTAAAATGTCTATAAATAGCTCAAAAATTGCTAAAATTTTCCAAACATCAAACCGTAAGCAACAAAATCTAAAATACAACAAAAAAGATATCTCGTCATTTTTCATTTGATATAATATTTCTGGTAGAAAACGTCATCCGTAATTATTTAATATTATAAAATCGTGAAATCGTACGTTTTTTCTCCTTTAATCTCTATTATTTCGAGTAATATTTCGAAAATCGAAAAACGACCACTACAAAGTACTATATCAAGAACATTACCTTTCAGAAAAGATATAACAAGTTTAGATGGAGAAAAAGTGTTTACAGAATAAAAAATAAATATAAATAAACATCATTGTAAATCAATACATTTCTCGCTCCACTCAGAATCTAAAAATCTGAAATAAACAAAAATTATTGGATTATAATTATATCCTCAGAACAATATATTTTTGACGAATTATTTTTTTTTTTTTTATATATATTATATGATAATATACCCAACGACGACATAGTGTAACGATATTTACTGTTGATATTTTAGAAAGTTAAAAAAATGTTTTTAAATATTTCGTTAAATTTTTTGATATGATCGTTATCTGAAACCATAATATTTTTTTGAAGCTTAATCATAATGGTGATACCTGTTTATAAATAAATATTATATAATGTAGAAAATATTATGTTTACTCGTGTGTTTATAAGAAATTCTTCAGTTATAGTACAAAAATGATAATTATTATTATATGACGTGTAATAAAACAAAAATCGTTGGTAATTTAATTACATTACAAACACGAAAATAATTCTAAAAACTCTTTAGTACAAAAATAATTCTTACAACATTAGAGAACGTTCAAAATTCTAAAATATTGACACGATTACAGTAGATATTTTCCAATAAAAAATTACTAACATAAGTTTATTTTCTACAAAATCACGGTTTGTACACCCTCACATATGATAGATGTCAATCTAAAGTATTGAAAAGTTGAAGCCAGACTAATTTTTCGRTGTCACTTCAAAAATATCGTATTATAATAGTTGTCGAGCAGTTATATTGTATTTTATAGATTTGATATTAGTAAACAGTCTACTCTAAAGTTTGAACTCACAAATAGTACGATAATATTGTATACAATACATATTATGTACAACTTAATCATTTTTACTATCTATGAAAGTCGTACATTATTATTTTACTATGAAAATTCTTTAAGCTAATTCCATGGTACACTGAATACTTTTTGTTCTTGAAGCGCATTTCATTATCACTTGTAATATTATTTTTAAATTGGTTTTATTTAATATACATAAGTATGTTTATTATTAATATTAGCTATTATAAAGACTTAAAAATAAAATAATATTTTTTTTTACGTTAGTCAATAACTCAAAAAGTGAAATATATTCTTAGTAGATTTTAATTTAAAAAACTGTTATTTATCAAAGTATTATAGTCTTATAGTCTTATTTATTTTTGTGGTTATAGAAACAATAATATTTTAACAATTTTATAGTTTTGTATCGATACAATAACTATAAATATTGTTTTAATTTATAATTATATTAATACTTTACATTTTTTAATAATTTGATATAGTTAAATAAAAATGTTTAATGTTGTACCTATGTGATGTTGTATGTCTAATAAAATAGCATTGMATTTTATTGATAAAATATGAAAATTCACTCTTTTGTGGATTATATTTTTTGATGTTTATGCTTATAAACATTTGATACAACAAGGCATTTATATATCTTTTAGTACAATGTAATTGAAAAGTTGAAAATCTTGATGTGTTTGCAATTTCGATTTATTTTCTGGGTTGTCTCTAGATGCATTTTGTGTTCATAAATAATGGATTTCACTATTTTATGCAAATCCCCCAAAACGTATACCTAATAATATATTTGAAAAATGTATGTAATATTTTATAATATATAAATTGAACATCTCTCAATTTTATTTTTGGATGCATAACATTTAATTTTTTTTTCTATTTCTGTGACATGAATTAAATTTACTGTACAATGTGTACCTGTAATAATACTTTAAAAAAAAATTATTATTATTCAAAGTATCATAAATATGTCTGTCTATTTTTTAACATWATATAATTTATTTAATTCATCGTAATCATTATTTAATGAAAATTATCATGATATAATAAAATGTCTCATATTCATTATTATATAATATTATAGATATATAGAGGTGCCTAGCTACAGTTTATTTTAATGATGTTACAATCCCAAGGGAAATCAATAATAATATACTTATTTTCTGAAATACAATTTATGGACAACTATACATATTATTTTTGCTGGGACTTAACTTATATAAGATAATTTTCTTTTATAAAAAGAGTAATACAAACTAAAATATGATATTTAGATTTAATTTATATTATACCATATTTTTTGAAATATAATTTAGTCATTTTCAAAAATTTCAACTAATATTAAATTGTTAAAAATGYCKGTTGATGAAAATGAAAAAAATAAAATAAATACTAAATTTTATTTCAATTGTAATGTTTATATTTAAAAGTATTCAGATACATGAATAAATTAGGAACTCAATTTAAATAAATAAAGTTACAAATATAAATTATTATTTGAAGACAAGATGTTTTTGTGAACAAACTTAAATTAAAACTTTTTGTGAAAAATTATTCATTTTACAATTTGAAACCCACACTTATATGAATAAAAGTTTACGATTGAATATATAGTATGCATGATATACCTAGTATAATAATATGCAATTCAATATTTTTGTTTTAATTCATTCAAAAAGATTAAAAMTATATTTTATTCACATTGAAATTTTAATGTATATATTTTCGTTTTCAAAGAATATGTTTTTATATCATTCCAATAGAATTCAATATAAAAATGTGGTACACCTTCAGGTAACATATTTTCCTGTGTGTGAAACATCTAAATCTTAAAATGTACATAATATTTAATTCTAAAAATAGTTGTTGTCACATRTATATACATAGTATATTACATTCGAAAAYCTTCAACATTTCTTGATAAAAATCATAACGAGTTCATTGTCGTATAGATTTGCATRCATACRTGAGTTTGTTTTCTATTCAGAATTTCCAAATATGGTGGAATTAATTTGTAAAATGACCGTAAAATGTTTAAATAATAATAATACATTAAAATAAGATACAATTATAATTAGTAATTACTGGTTGCCAATAAGAAACACTTAAACAATACCTTATTGTTAAATAAAGTGTTGAAAAAAATACTGTATACATTATAGGTTTGGTAGCTAGGTAGATAAAGTTTTTAATAATAACCTAATCTACATTTATTGTACTTAATTAAAGTAATATAAATATATATATATATGACCATTATAATGGTGCCTATAAAAATTTAATATTTAAACTCTGATTCCAAATTTGATATAAACTGTTAAAATATGCGTATGTATCGTAATTTCCTCTGTGTATACATTTTTTACATGATTGACTGACAGTAGAACAAATCAAAGTCGCTGGTTTGTACTATTATAAGTACTCCGCTTGAATATCATTAATATAAATTATAGAAATAACTTAATCTTTTTGTATGGTTCATATTGCAGGAAGAATTTGCTCAACTCTTCAAGCAGCTGGATGCCCTTAAAGAGAAAAACTTGAGGTTTGGCAACAGGCATCTGGCTGAAAAGATATCGGCTATGCAAGAGGTGAGCAAACGCGTAGTTTGGTCTACCAATATCGACAAAAAGCCAGTGGCTGCAGTTGTTGGCAGTTTCGCGTTCACTAACCACCACCATGGCTGTAGTCACCCAATTAGCGGTAGCCAAAAATCATTAGTCGTTAATCAAAATGGCAAGAAACCGTTTATGAAAGAAGTGACGGTGTGACGTACATTATAATATACTGTAAATAATTATAGTATTAC